CTCTCTCTCTCTCTCTCTCTCTCTCTCTCTCTCTCTCTCTTTCTCTTTCTCTCTCTAAAATAAAATTATTACTTTATATTGCATTAGTTTTTTTAAAATTAGTTTTTAGTTTAATTAAAATTAGAAGATCTATTTCTCTAAATGACAAAACAAATTATTCAGACATGCATTATGTTATAGATATTTGAAATTAAAAAAAATTATTTCATTTTATGTAACAGCGATTACCATTGGAGTACGAATTCTTGGTCCAGCATTAGGTTTCATCTTAGGTTCTTTCTGCACAATGGTCTATGCGAATTTGTCAAAGAATCCACAAATTACACCAACGGATCCACGATGGGTCGGCGCTTGGTGGCTGGGTAAGCTCAAATAGAACCAAAATTAGAAATAATAATTAATTTAAAGAATAAGTCTAAAGAAGTAAATCTAAGAGTAACGTAATACAAATATTTTATTCGTTTTGTTTTGAGTTTTATAATAACGATATAATATAATTGACTTATTGACTTATTGGAATTTTTCAAAAAGCATTTAATCTTAAATTTAATGTGGAAACATAAAAAGATTCGGTTCTCTCTAAAAATCATTTAACCTTCATCATTTAAATTATGTCGTCAGAATTACGTCGCGAGAGCGTGTCATAATCGGGTTTCAAATGATCTCTTGTCCTTGTTTTCGCTTCGAAAGTTATGCTCAACGACATAATTATAATTTCTTATTTATGGCAACTAATATTAAATCTACAATTAATTTTTAAATTTGCAATTTTCTACAATCGAATTTTTTTCGTTTGTTTTAATAGAAATATCAAATGTATTTTTTTAAATATTAGTTAATCGTACCGTTATAACATATACGATTCTTTTCTATTTATTATTGCAATATGTAATATGTAACATTAATTAATTATAATAATTATATAATTATAGAATAATGCATACTGATTATCTGGACATCGATTATCCAAATATTAATGATATATATGAAAGATTTTTGTTCAGTGGCTAATTTTAACACAGGTAATGAACAATTATTAATAAATTTGTTTATTTCTAATTATTGATATGATTTATTATATCGCTGGATTTACTTTCAAATGTCTAAAATTAGATTATACATAGATTATACATAGATAAAATTTTGATATTCGCAAATAAAAATATGAAAATATTAGTAAGAAACGTATAAAATTTGATACGGACATTTGTAATAATAAATACTTGTATCATCTATTTGTATATTATAAGAAGTGCGAGATAAACACAAGATGACTCTCACACACAGTACAGATAACAAACCATTCCAAAGAAGATATTGTGTCAGTAAGCAAATGTAACAGTTACAGTAAAAGTGTAAAGATGCAAGATTCAAACAGCTTCTGCAGACTTCTCCAAGTGGTGATGCATGACAGAGATACGAAAAATATAATGAAACTGTATATTTTGAAATTGTATCATGTAGAAAAGAAATCAGAATACGATATTGCTCGTCACTTCAGAATGCCAATAACAACAATTAGAAGTATACTTTGCAAGTATAAATGGCATCAAATAGAAATCATTTTACGAATAAATGAACGTACATATAGATGGACACCTCTTCTTCAAGGCTCCAAGGCAATTCTAGAAGAAAACCTATTAGAACTTATGGCTAATTTAAATAACAAAATAAATCCTTACATATTAACTTTACAAAAACACCAAC